CAGTCGAGGCTATTCCCAGACGATTACAGAAACTGGTGGACAACGCTGGTGCCTATGTGGAATTTTAACACAGCAGACTATTTATACCATTCTACCGTCCACAGTAAAACTTGTTTCACTACAATCGACCAATAATTAGTAACGTTATTAGCAATTTTCAATAGGGAGTTATTTTTCAACCACCCTGTACAACGCTATCAACAGACTGCTTAATAGATGAATGAGACGGAATTGAAACTCACGTCATTGCGGGGGACATCCAGGTTTCCTTCAGACTTGGTCCGCTCCTTTCTCAGGTCTGGCCGAAAACGAGTGGCCCTGGGACTGAGCCCGTACATCAGCATGTTCCTGCTTGTCATCTTTCTCAGCGGCACTGCCTCTGTCCTATTTTGAGGGCAGCTGATTTGATTTATTCTAAATTTTATTGGTTTAATATTTGGAAAAGAAGCTTTTTGTGACCACAGTTCTATGTGATGGACTGGAATTTTTGCATTGTGGACCACTTATGTCAGAATCCACATGCGTATGCCATGAGGCTTGACAATTCCTTCGTTCACCTCGAAGGTTTGCTGTGTTTGGCATATGTAAATTGTCCAGGAACATCAAATGTAATTGCTAGTCAAATGATATCGAAGAAAACCCTTGAAGGGATTAAATTGACTCAAGTGACCCTTATTCGCGAAAGTGCAGCCTCTAAATGTCTAAAAATCGCCTCCATCCTCCATGAATCAATGAGGCGCGTTGGGAGCACCCAAAGTAACATCTTTCCTACTGGGCGTGTCCATGGATATGGTACTATGGGTTCCCTCCCCACAGCCCAATAAACGCGACGTGCAAGAGAACTCCCCTTTCTTTTGGTCGCTGTTATTTTCTCTAAATCTTCGCGTGTGCGTGGATGTCCTAGTGTATGCCTCGTTCTTCAACGGTTCACATTATGATTATAAGAACAGTGCGTTTGCATTTCGGCCTCCTCTCTTCCCTGATCAATCCCGATGGAAGCTCGTGATCAATGCACATGTGCCTCCACGATATCCTTCCTCTTTTTGTTTATCCGATTAATATATAAATACAGATCTAGGAAGACATACCCTCTGCGAGAGATAATGTTGGCAAAAGCGAATTCGACGAGGGTAAGAAAGATGAAGGCGATGCAGACAAAGAACCAGATTTCCACGGCCCTCAAATAGGACAGTTTAGGCAGTTCGTCGCCTATATTCCTTGACAGGGTGATGAAGGTCAGCATCGTGCTCGTTCCTGTTTCAACGTAAAAGCAAAATAAAGAGTAAAGATGGCTCTTTCTCCTTCGGAGGAAGTTAGATGAAGAATTGACTTCATTTAGTTCCAGACCGACCGAGAGCGACGCGGGCAGGAGCAGCACTGGGATCCAACCAGAAGGAGACCCATGACACGACGACCAGGAAGATGGAGGGTACATAATAATCCAGGATGTAATGTCCAGGGTCCCTCTTGATCGTGAATCTCACTGTGATGGCACTAAATTGTTTTCCTGTCATGAGAACAGTTCCCCTTGTGGTAAGGTTTTCTTTTTAATACTTTCTTTATAAGAAGGACATCCAATAAATAAGAGAACAATCGGATACAGAAATAAACACAATTGAATGGATAGGTTCTTGTCATTACGATAGTGCTAACTATTGGCTATTTGAAATCGTTAAACTGCTTCATGGGTTTACGTTGGGGTTTTAGTTTTCCAGAGAAAGAGGAAAGTGGGGATTAAACAACTGCTACCAGTGATGCCATGGATGTCCAGGAACTCCTCCTCAAAACAATCGTGGCTGAGGACGGTTTGTTCGGAAGCAATCAAATCCTCCTCTCGGACGATGCAATCCACGGGATTCTCCCATTTCAGCCTCCCCTTGGGAATGGGAATGTCCCACGATGCTATTGTCATGTTGCAAGTCTGTTCATCGAACGGGAATCTCTTCAGGTCCATCAAGCATGCAAACCTCACCTTCGCTCTATAGACATTCAATGAAGGAAACAAGCAAAAAATTATTTATATTTGCAAGAGAACATATTTTCAGTCGATTATGCTTTTTCCCGCTCAAATCGAAAAAATAACCTTAATGCATACTCATAACACAACCCACCGAAATAAATTTATATATATGGGGGTGGTTCAATACTTAACTGCACTTTTCATTCTAGAAAATCGATGGTACATATGATCGCTATAAAACTACTTCTCCTCGAGGTGTTCCCCTCCTACACGGACGTACTCGTCACATCGATATGGCAACGCCTCATTGCCAGAGGCATTTGAATGTTTGTGGTCGAGTGCACAGACACTTCACCATTTCATCACTCTGAATTTCTTCGACCGAGGCGATGCGGAATCTCGCCATTGCATGCTTGAGCTTTTCATAATGGCGTTAACACATGGGTGACGGGCATCGAGAAATCTCGTAGTACGCTCGCGAGCGGTTGGTGACCGGCCCCGAGAAATATAATACCGAGATTTCTCGGGGCCCGTCACCCATGTGTTAAGTTATGAATCCACGTTTCATCCCTGGTCAAAATGCTGCTGAGGACGTTGCCCTTCTCTTCGTCGTAGCGGTTGAGACGGTCTGACGCGGCGGTCACTCGGTTAACCTTCTGGTCGAAGATCAGTTCTCTTGATACCCATCTCGCAGCAACCTCTATGAACTTAAAGTGTTTTAAATTCAGTGATTTCGACACTCCCAATGTTGATGTTAAGTTCCGCTGCAAAATCTTGGACGGTAATGCGGCGATTCTCCAGAATAAACTGTTCAATTTCTTATTTGGAAGATAAGTACAATTGTACATAAGCAAAAACGACAGAACTTCCCCCAAACCCAATATTTGAGTTATTGACAATTAAGTTGAAGGATGAATGAAGACGTTTATCGACGTGATTGGCACTGGCAACTCACGCTCCGTGAAGGCATCAGTCGACGTCTCAGGCAGTGAATGTGCCTTACCTCACTCGTCTTGAAGCTCTCAGAGACGCAAATGGGAGGGAGGAAGGGGGAGAGGGTGCTTACAAATTATTCAATACTAAAGATTCGATTTGGAAATGACAGCTCTTTCTAAGAATTGTTTCTTGTCCCTATAGTTTAAGTCATGGAAGGAAGAGGGAGGTTGCCATCTATGTGCAACACAGTAAATCTCAAGCGTCACAGGCAAAGACGTTTTACTAAACGGCCTTTACACCAAAAGCGTTTTCTTTGACCGTAATGCATGTTCACTCCTGTCACTTTCTTTATCATTGTTTTTCGCCATCTGGTTAGTTTGATGAACCGACTTTCGGCGATAACTCGCTGACCGCAAAACACTCGTAAAGCAGGATATAACTCGCCTGTAGGTTAGCGTGACCGTGCCATTCTTGGAGATGGCGACGAAGACGTTCCTCTTGCTGAGTTGGAAGACATTCGAATCCTTTTCATTCACGAAAAAGAGAGTCGGGGACCAGATGAGGTTGTAGAGCCATTCGCTCCCTGATAGATATTCGTCCTCGAGGTACCACGTGTTCTCTTTCTCGAAATCCAGTCTCTTGTCTTGCCACACGTGTCGAAACATGAGGTACACCGAGAAATCCTATTTCGTTCAAAGGGATATCAGAGTCAAACGATGACGTAGTCATACACTCAGAGCCAAAGGGATGGTGCGCAATGAAGTTGTTGTGTTTCCGAGAAAGATACGTTCCAAAAAGCTCTTGTACGTGGCAAAAGACTTACTCCACTATCTGCAGGGCCGAATCATAAAGGCGAGGTAAGCTACTCTCGCTTGAAAACTAACATCAACCAGCAGTCATTAGTGTTTGGGGAGAGTCTCTTTCAGCTCCACGAGCAAAAGATCGACATCTATGTGATATCCCTGAATTTAGATGGAGTTTAAATTTAGCAAGTAAAGGCCAAGGAGAAAGTCGAAAAGATAGAGGATAATTCAAATCTGATTCCTTGAGGATATCACTGGCAAGAGAAGGCAGCTAAACATGACTCGACATAGCAATAGGAACTGTATGATGACAAAGTTCTTAATCCTAACAATGACACGCAAGGTAAAGCGATGCCTCGGAATTAAAAACTCACGCAAAATGATAATTCGGGTTTTTTGAAAGGGTGGTGTGTTTCCAAAGGAACAATCTCAAACATCCTTTTCAAGGGAGAGGCGTGCATTTCAGACATAAAGCCTAACCCAAGACCATTAGGCAACGAGAAGCTTTTGTCTGAAGTGATTCATTTCGCGAAAACGGAAAATCCACCCAGGAAGAGATAACTTGCATGTAAACTGCCGGTGTCCAAGGGAACGATCGGCAGGGTCATTCATGAGGACCTCAAAATGTAAGGAAAACAAGAAATGAAAGTCCATGTCCTCAGCCTAAAACACATCAGCGAGAGAAAATAGGAATAGCTGAAAATTCTGCGAGCGCCACATGGCTGGTGAAAGGTAAAATGTACTGTATATTATGACGCTCTATGAAACTTGGTGGCATCATCCCGTTTGTGGAGAGAACCTATCTATTTACTGCCGAATGCATTTTTTTCTTCTTTTTTATTATCAAAACAGGGTTTGGATATCTGTGCGTTTGGGTTGCTGAAGCGTGTCCCCGTGAATCAGCACCGCAACATTTAGGGTGTACTTTTAGAATTTTAGAGAAGAATGGGAGAAATTGGGAATCTTTGTGCTCCGTAAAGCTCTGGCAACATAGAAATTGAGATGTAGGGCTATTCTCAAAAATCGATGTTACGAGATGAAGCATGAAAATTTCTTGAGAAAAAAAAAGCAAAAAACCTTTTTATATTTTGAATTGACAAATTGGTCGAATAAAGCTGGGGCAACCTGTATCGATAGGGGAGGTTGCGCCTATTACCTTTCTTCAACACCTTCCTGCAGCGAAATTTAACTTCCTCGTATTCCTCTCTGAGAGCATCAATAGGAACGAAATTTGGCTTATTTCTTCCTCTCTCACCACAGAATCGCTCCAGCATATTTGAAGCTCCATCTCCGCGGAGTTGTGGAGAACACTGAATCTCGTTCTTGGAGGAAGTGAATTATTTCCTTTTTTTCTCTCCTGGGTAGCCACTCCTGGGGGGTTTTCGGAAAGAAAGAGACCCAACCAAACGAAATATATTGACCTTTAAGTGACAAAAGGTGTCCTTTTTGTTCCTTCCAGTGCCCCATTTCGCCATAAAAAATGAAATTAGCTGTCGTTCAATTAGGCTTAGAGTGCTTGCTCCGGTACCGTCCCCCAGTGTTGCCATATAACGTGCCGAAATTATGCCAGATTCAAGAATCTGTCAACCTTCGTATTGGCATCTGGATCTTCTGTTTTTTAATGTATGAGACATTTTTGTGCTGAGTTCAGGAGGTGAGTTGAGGATGAAGCTGTGGTTAGCTGTTATTGACCGATGTGATGGGAAATGCAGATATCCCACCTAATCCGGATACCCCTGAATTAACAGGAACCATGAATTTCATGCTTCTTGAAGGTATTCTCTCCTCAGACCTATTCGAGATGGTTCGAGGAACTCCAGATAGGCCGAACGTTCCACGGCCCACTGAAATGGTTCATGAAACGCGAAACAGACCTCCAATCGGTCTAACGTTACACGTCCACTCTGAAATGGTTCATGAACGTATGAATAGGCCTGCGATTGGCCTAACGTTACACGTACTCAACCTCAAGATGTCTCGAAGACCAAGATTCACACTTATTGGCCCAATTGGCACCGTAAGTCGAGAATTGAGTTAAGATCCCCCCGTAGAGAGGCGGGGGGAGGGGGGACAATGAAGAAAGTGAAATTGAAAATTGGTTTTCAAATGACTTCACATCCCTATTTTTTGGGACCAAGCGCACCACTTCATCATTTATTGGAAATAGGAACGGGTTGACTCACGGATGTTTGAGCAGAGATTGATTCGATGTGATGAAGCGTTATGCTTGTAGTAATGTTGATCTCGGGCTGATATTTCGGAGGAGGCAGTTCCTTGATGTATATCGAGGGGTCGGTCAAATCTGCGGCTAGGTTTATGGTGTAGATATTGGTGGATAGTGGCACCGTTATGTTTGTGACATCCGGGGTGGTTTCTATCGAGCCTTCTGTGGTAGCTATCTCCTCCGAATTCCCTTCTCTCCATGTTTGTGAAAGCCCCACTGCTGCTCCATCCACTCTCACCAAAAAACTGCCTCACAAACAATTGCCTCCTGCTACATATATATAGAAATTCGCCGTCGTTCAATTAGGCTTAGGGTGCTTGCTCAGGTACCGTCCCCCAGTGTTGCCGGATACCGTGCCGAAATTATGCCAGATTCAAGACTGTTTCAACCTTCGTATTGGCTCCTGGGTCTTCTGTTTTTCTTTTTTTTTTATCTATGAGACATTATTGTGCTGAGTTCATGAGGTGATTTGAGGAGGAAGCGGTGGTTAGCAGTTATTGATCGACGTGGTGGGATATGCAGATATCTTATCCGGATACCCCTCAATTAACAGGATGGCGCATACTATGGATTCCATGCTTCTTGAAGGCCCTCCTCAAGCATACCTCAGGCCTGAGGTGATGTCTTTCCGAGTTTTTACACAATAATAAAAATGCTACTCGAAGTTCTGTCTCCTGTTTTCAAATTTTAACTTTTGGCTACATATGTAATTAAATTCCAATGTTCTATATGAAGCTAAAGATGAGCTAACTACTTCTCAGGATGGCTGTTTCAGGTATCTAATCTACAGACGTTCAGGCCTACATCGCTCTTGACCATGGTTCGGTCTCTTTTGCCAAATGGTGATATAAAGGCTTTGAGACATGGCGATATACCTTTCGCTTTTGATGAATTGACCCTGTTCATGGCTCAACACAAGATAACGCAGTTGTTCGGAGTCATATATTTTTATTTTATCTTTAACGCAGAAACTTGATATTTCCTCTAATCGATGGTGACCTGAAGTTGCACCTGCCAAGCCTAATCGCACGTTGCAACGAGACTCGGGGCATGGCTTGCCCACAGTCGACGATTGCCTGCTTTAAATCTCCAATGGCTTCGTCCTGGTCGAAATTCTCTCGCAAGAAATCCCATGCCGAGTGATCGATAGAATATGCATTGGAGCTACCGGGTGGTCACGTGGGATGTTCAATTACGTCTGGCAATTCGTTTTACAGGAAGTCAAACATTCTCAAGGTTTCATTAATCTTGATGGATGACTGTGTTTTTGCTCCTGATACTTCGCGAATATTTGGCAAAAGATCCGATGATAGTAATTCACTCTTTTCGTATCAGTAAGTAAGTAATTACTTATTTGCACTTATTTCCTTGTTTCTCCTTAATAACTTCCTCATTTACCTATTATAATGAACTTTATTCACTTATTTGGGTATGTTGCGAGAAAAGCTGAACTCGCATTGAAACTCCCATAAAAAATATATTTTTTTAAGATCAAGCGCGCTTTTACTATACAGCAAAGCAGAAACGTAGAGTGAGGTACATATTTTGTACGATATAAGGTAGACATGTATTTAGCAAAATACGCTCGTTGAAAAGATACCGAAGCAAAATTAGGTGGAAACGTATACCCTTCTAATTTCTATTTAACCATTTCAAACCCCATGTCCAATCCAATGGACATTGCATTTTCGTTTTGTCTGTGGTAATTTCTTAGGATTTTCTTGTACCCTTTTAAAGTAAAGGAGCATGCACGTGAACGCACGACGTGTAGGAATCGGATGGTGCGAAAGGCCTTAACGGAAATACAAAATACGAGCGTGTAAAATGACATTTTTTTGCCTCTCTCTTCGTTTATGTTCGACGAAACTAAAGGCTTTCAAGCCAAGAAATAATTCTAGGAAGCAGAGGAAACACTCACCCGTGACAACCCAAGAGGACGATGAACGAAATAGTTTCAAAGGATTTCATAACAGGTCCACCGCAATGACAAGGCCTTGTGGAAACGAAATGGTGCAGTAAAAGAGGAAATCCAAAGCGTTATATGGCTCCTGCCAAATGATAAGGAGACACCTTGAAATGAGGTGCCGATTTCAGGAATCCTGATTCCAGATGGATTTACAGCTTTGATCTTGAAGGAAGCCGAGGGAATAGATATGATTATCGCATTGTCAACATCCCCGTCCGATCTCCAGTCGGCTATGGAACGACTCCTGATTATTTTGACGTATTTTTAGCTTTCTCTGTAACTTGGGGAAGTCCGTCTTGAAACTGATGCACATTCTCAAAGGCAATTCATAGCTCGCATATGAACGCAATTTCATGTCTGGCCTCTGGTTGATGTCGAAGCAGAAAAGACAAATGCCTCCGACTTGGATCTGTATTTTTTTAAATTGGTTTCCTTATTTCCTTCAACTCAACCAAGCTGATAGTTTGTTTGTCCTTTGCGCCCTCGGCGCTCTATGAACAAATAAAATTACTAAAGCATTTAAAGCATTCATTTTCGAACTTCACCCCTAAGGATGCGGTCAAATCCCTTGACAATTTTAACGCCTTCGGCACTCGCACCATAAAAATAAAGTTCTTTCAGAAACTGTTCATAGTGACGTCATATGACTTCCAGCATGAGGATCACCAGGTAAAAATTAAGTGCGTCGTTAAATGTTCCTATATAATGAATATAATTCATGCCTGACGTCTTCATATTCTTCTTTGCGTATAAATCTAAAAGACAGCATATAGTTGCAGGCACATGAGCTTATTACATCATGAAGTTGACGCCATTTTCTCTGCCAGTTCATCCATATGCGGACAGACGGGCGAAATATGGGAAGAAGAGAGTATAGATCGCACTCGAACTGTCATTGAATAAGCAGCACCTTTGGGGACTCATGACTGTTTCCGCATTCACTCCCCATGTAAGGAAAATTGTCTCCCATGGCCCATGCCTATGCAGCGCACGAGGCGGCCATAAAATTCGTATCAGTATTTTGAGCGATGCAGCTCGCAAACTAACGCGGTAGAAAAGCGAGATTCCCGAGCGACACGACGCACGTTGGGAAGCGCGAGGAGATAATTTATTTTAAAAAATGAAAAGGAGTTGTATTGAGGGAGCCACTTCATGTATTATTGTTGAATGTTGCCTCAATGCTCAGCAGTTACGGTATCCATACGTAGAATGGAGTTGGAAACGGCAGCGTAGAAAATCTTTCCAGGAATCGAGTGCATCACCCCCGTCCTACGTCCACGTCCTACACCCCTCATATCTGGAAGCGCCCTACGCCTATCGCCGTATGCACGTAAATCTTCCGGATAACGATTACGTATGGACACGGAAGTTCGGAAATTTCAGCCATTCCCATGATGAAATCCTAACTACACCACCAGTCATGCTACGCTATTGTGTCAAAAACAGCCCGGCAACCATTCCAGGTACCTATGTGCCTGTACCAAGTGGCTCGGAAAAATGCGCGATTCAAGTCATAATAGAAACTCCTTCACCAGGAGATGATGGCTGTAGGTACAGGGTGAGCCAAAAATATTCGGTTATCTTGAACGCTGCACAACGTAGTTTCTCAAGAGTTTGAAAATATTGTAATAGGATTTCTATATACAGGTAAAACATTATAGGATGTGCTCCTGGTGACGTCCATTCCTTCTCTTATAGCGAGTAGGCAAAGTCTTGCATGCACTGACATCGCAGTTGCAGTTTCGCACCAACTTTTCCAGCACCGCTAACACTATTTATATAAATGTATGGAAGTTATGCCACAAATCCTTATTTTGTTGGAATCATTCGAAAGCTGAATGAATGTTCTGTATGGAAGCACTATTGCAATTTAGCAATGCAGAGGAACTGTTTCCAAAGATAATCAAGAAATCCACCTAACTCAAGGAGTGTCCCACAGAACAAATCAAGAATCGGAATTGCTGCTTTACTTGAAGAGGGTTCGAACATTCAACCCATTCCGAGCCTTTTTTTCATGGAGGCACGGCTAGGTCATATGTACTGTGAAACGAAATAGTGTGAAAACCATTTTTTCAAAGGCTTTACCCATTTCTCCTACCCTAAGGGGTTGAAGAAGTGGGAAGGGAGAGTTTCTCTACGGGACATCCTAACGTTAAGCCAAGACCTAACTCAGCGGTTCTCAAACTTTTTGCGTTGCACCCCCGCCACCAACCCCGACCCTCGCTCGGTGTCGCGCACCCTGGCGACAATAAAGGCACAAATCTTATTTTCAAAAACGTGACAGAAACGTCTTCAGAAATTTTGCTTTGCCAGAGGAACCCAGCTCTTCTGCGTCTTGGTGTTTCTTAAAGTATTTATTTAGATAGAACGAGAGCACGAACGCTACATTCATCGAGCATTCACGCACGATCCATTTCGTCATCTTCATTCGAATCGTAGGAAATCGCCGACGGAAATGTACACCTCTTGAAAAGAGGGAATCGAATTTAAAAGTCTGCCTGGAATTGCTTTCATTTAGTCTTCTACTCCAGAAGAAAGACCAAAAAGACCTGAAGGAATGTGACCATTAAATCTATATATAGACAGATGAATAAAAATTTTACATATTTGAAATTGCTAATTGTAGTGAATAAAAAAAAACTCACATGACCCGTCGCGCCCCCCCTCCCTGGGGCTCGCGCCCCTCAGTTTGAGAACCCCTGGCCTAACCCATGGACTGTCTTCAGGTCAGGCCTAAGCCGATCTTTTTCCGTTCAAAAGACTCTCAACGCTCGACTTGAGAAAATTAGGCTCATGAGGGTCAATCCCTGGGTTGTCAAGACATCTTCGTGAGGACGTGTAGTTCGGTAGATTGCAAGCGCATTCCAACTTTCACAAACCATTTCAGAGACGACGTTTAACGTTAAGCCTATCTGGAGTTCCATGAACCACCTCGACTAGGTCTGGGGAGAGAATGCCTCCATGATTGAAAAGCGTGTTGGGCGCCATCCTGTTAATTCAGGGATGTCCGTGCATGATATCTCCATATAACGCATCGATCGGTCATTGCTAAACACCGTTTCAATCTCAGTTCATCTCATGAACCATCTTCTGCCTTTTAAAAATCCCCTTCACATGTATGGATGGACAGAATTTCTCCGAGGCAACGTTAAAAAGTTCTTGACTCTCTTTCGTGAGACTCAAGCTCGAGATCTCCTGCCACAATTTGAAGCAGGATCTTCCCACCAGCAAGCGTAGGGTAACAACTAGTTACAATGGAGAAGTCATAGTTGAACCATTGTGGTATCGAGTTTTCCAATCGAGTGTTTTACCAATTTGCTCAAGAATCATGCGTGGATGGTTTCAGATCGAGGACTGCGATAGAGCCAAGTCCAAAGCTTTCCCAGAATTTTCACTCCGATCGGTAGAAAATATTGCCAGCATAAAGAGATTAGTAGTGCATAGCGAGTTCTCATTATCCTCCTGTACGACTAACTAGGGAGGATCCAACAATTTCTACCACGAGGTATGAAGTAACTCATGAAACAAATTAGCTTTTTTTTTTAAAGGAGATAAGGATATCTCCCCCTGGTTGCATTCTTGCCATCGATGAAGAAAGGCATGAATCCCACTGCAATCAAATAAATGGATAGGAGTGGAAAAGTGCTCGTACAGCTACCTCGACTCCATTATCACTTTCACGGCATGTTTTACGGAGCTTTTCCCTCGAAATCGTGCGGAAGGGTCGAAGCCGTATACACAAGTAGGCCTACATCCTCATGAATACCTGTACTATTGATAGGATAATAATATTTTCCGCTGCTCTTTCTCTAATTTCCGAAAATTACCAATAGACTACATCTATAATTAAATGCCACTGTTCAATATGAATTTTAAAGTAACGCTCGAAAAGGAATCGCTTACCAGGATGCCCTTACTCAACCTATAAGAGCAGCAACTTAGAATCCCCTCTGGTCGCTTATAGTACCCGTGGGCAAAATCTTTTGAATACTCGCTCGTATAAGTAGGTTGGACCTAATGATTAAGCTTATAGGTGAATGACTCACCCTTCCCATCTCTTTCTTTGTTGTTTACCTAGGTCACGTCCAGGTAAAAAATGCCTACACGCCATTTTCCTTGGCGTAGGCACTTCAATCATGGTTTTTTCCGTCCCGGTGACTTTTGGAGCATGGTTCAAAGCATGGTTCAAATATGGTCTTGACTCGATGCCATGATTGTCAATAAGAACTCTCTCATCAAATTTAGAGGATTTTGTCCGGTTCTGCTTGCGAAAGTGAGGATGCGGGTGTAATTAAGGTGAAAATCATCTACAGCATCTAGCGAAGCAATCACTTGCAGATGTAAAAAGAAACATATTGGTGATGGGTTAAATAGCAACGGAGTTCGAAATCCGAGTTTGAAAAGTAAATGCCTGAAGAGAAAGACAATTGAGGAAGGTAGTACTCCCAACCAGACCCGGGTGGAAAGATCTTTGGGAGGGAGCTGATATGTGATATACACATCAGAGCCGTACTAAAGATATTTGGCGCCCTGTGCGAGATATCAATCCAGCGGCCCCCCCCCCCATACCTCTCTAGCTTCCCCAGCACAAACAATACACTACGTATTAATTTCTCTGTTTAATTTAGTCAAGTTTAGGGTAATTGTAATTTTTTAAAGAGTATTTTTCGTATTTTGTAATAGTTCGTCAGCCAATCGGCGCCCCTCTCTGTTCTGCACCCTGTGCGGGGGCACCGCTCGTACACCCCTTGTTACGGCACTGGTACGCCTAAAGAAGCTCACTCGAAGCCTCTTCTTAAGCGCCTGAAAGACAACCCGCACGTCAGGGTTTCGTGTCAGTCCAATGTCCCTATGTCCAACGTCTAAATTCAGTGATTGCAATTCAGTGATTGTCTTTTAAGAGATTGCAAGGGTTGAGTTCGAATGGACAATGGAACCGACATGACGTTAAGGCTCTTGGATAAGTTTGTCCCAAATTGCAATTGGACAAATAGTTTGCTATTATTAGTGCCTTTTATGAGTGGAGGATGCTTCTCTTTGAAAATCGGCCAATAGGACGAGGAAGTTGGCAGAACGTTGATATTGACACAGGGTTTTTATAACTGAGCCATAAGCCATGAGGCTGGTACTTACAGGAGATCGCTACTGACGCGTTGATGAACAGCGAAATCCCCTTCATCCCACAATAAACAAATCAAAAGCAACGAACACCCAATCGAATGCTGCAGAAGCGACTTTCTAGACTTCATTCCAGTCCTGGTTCCTCCTGGATAAAGATACAGATGCAAGAATGTGCTAGTCCTTAAGTCTCAATGATGTGGTGGACCGATTCGACTTAGAATTGAAAATCCCAACTTTTATCACGGTGTTGGGGAAAAGTCTGGAATGCAATGGTTTTTTTTCCCAAATTGGGAGGTGAGGTAATGAAGAAGCAATGTGATTGATATTTTACAGAAAAATGTAATGAGGAGACTTTGATTCCATGAAAATGATTAGCCATTTTTCACAATTCTGCAGTCAACTCTTCTTTCATGTTCTTTTGATATTTCTTTTTCTTTTTCCTTTTCATTCTGAAATGGTTTTTATTCCGTTTATTAAACCTAAAGTTTAATTAAGTCATGACAAATGTTAAGGTTGCCGTTCCAATCAAGGGGGACTTTTCAGCACGCATGGGTGTAGCTGTAATAGAACCGCTGCATGACTGGAGCATCACTTGCACCGTTGAGAAAGATCTTATTGTTCTTGTGGAATATTTTAATCGCTAAAAATGCGCAATTGGCATGAATAATAAAGATCATAGACGGGTCTTCAGTCTCATGAACTCATAAATATCAATGCCATTTCATTGCATGCATCACGGTCAATCTCATCAATTAATTGATTCTCAGAAAGATGGTCACCAGGAAAGAGTCCCAATTATGTTCCGCAACTTCCAATACGAATATGTGAATTGTCCCACTAATAGCATGTTAACG